CGTCGGCCAGCCCCGGGCCACGGAATCACGCCCCCTCCTCCGCCCCGTCCTTTAGGGGAGACAGCGCTCTGCCAGGAGCAGAGAGGTGCCCCCAGACTCAATGGTCTCCGCGGGGGCCGCATTACTCAGCGCCTCCCTCGGCCCGGGAGTCCCTAGGACCGGGCTGCACCCCCAGGGCAGTGCCCCCTTTCCTAGGCTCCAAGGGGTCAGCCCCTGGACCGTGACAAGGGACCTCCCCCAGGTCCTGGAAGAGGACACAGCCCCGTGGGCATCGAGGACCAGGCAGTCTCCCCGCTGACACACACACCTCTGCGGCTCCCGCCGCCATCCGTGCGCAGCGCGGCGCAGGGGGGGCGCGGGCTGCGGGGCGAGGAAGGGGGGGAGAAAACACTTCGGGTCGCTTCTCAGCTGCCGCCCCTGGCCTCGCCGCTGCCCCCGGGTCGGGGGCGCCTGCCAGTGTGGTCCTCCCCAAGGCCTGGCAGAGGGATTGTGATGGAGGGAGCAGGCAGCGGAGGGCAGAGATGACTAAGACAGGAGGCAGGAGGCGGGCAGGGGGAGCCATTTGCAGAACCTAATCCCCCTCCCGCCTCTGATCCCACAAGGCGCTGGGAGGGCCAGGTGACAGAGTGGGGAGCAAACGCAAAGACAAAGGGTCCTGGGATGGGGGGGCGCGGGCAGGTCGTGACACCCCAGGCTCCCCTCTGAGACGGAGAAGATAGAGGTGGCTTTCTGGTGCTGAGAAGGAGCAGAGAGGATTCCGCGGTGCTGGAAGCGGATGGGGGGCTGGGCAGGCTGAGGCAGGAGGCAGGAGAGCTGACAGTGACCTTCCGCTCCATCATCAACATCCCTCCACTCTCCAGGAACCTGGCTTTCTTCCGATGACCTTCATGGCTAAGGAAGTGGTTGGCACGCGGGAAAGGAGGCAGGGGCCCCTCCCCCCAAGGGGACAGCAGTTCTGTAGGGTGACATCCAGGTTCTGCTTTGAAACCTCAGGCTAGTCTCTTGCCCTCTCTGACCCTCAGTTGTCACATGTTTAATATAACAGTTGGAATGGACTGGATAGTTGTTCCTGCCCCTCAAATGTCCTGGGAAGACCACTGCCAACCCTAGAGAGTCAAGGGAAGGACCTGAGTATCTGTGGGATGTTGGAAAGTCTCCCCCCAGGACATGCCCATCTGGTCAGCACAGAGGGAGGCCTTCTGTCTCTGCAGGACAGCTCCTACAGAACACCCCTTCAGATCATGTGACCCCAGAGCTGCAGAGAAACCTATTCGGCCCCTTCCCACAGCCCTGTCCAGCACTCAGGGTTAGGGCAGAGAGTACCTTGGAGACAACGGTTCCCAAGGGTGTCCAGCACTTGTTCCATATTCTACCTCTTGTTAAATATTTGCTGTGCCAGGCCAGCTGGTCTGGGCAGGGGTATAGAGTCAGGGACCTCAGCTCCTGTCCCTGCAGCCCCTCCCTCATGCCCCACACCTTGCTGAGTCCTCCACAGGCTGGAGGTTAATTAAATGAGACCCTGGAGGTTAATTAAATGCCTTGCCAAGGTCACACATTCAGGAAGTGCAGCCCATGTCTGTCCAAGCCCTGGTTCCTGAACGTGACCAACAGCAGCCTCTGAGGGCCAGTCCCTGCGCTGGGCATGGGAACGTGCAGGTGTGTGGACTTCGTTTTCCTTATCTGAGGAATGGGAACACTGACAACTGCTGCTCTGCCTTCCTGAGCCAGTGGCTGTGGGACACGAGTTCATGGGTGGCAAAGCCCTTTTGTAAACATGTGGGGGGAGGTGTTGACAGTCTAGCTGTGTGTCGCTCCTGGCTCCCGCTTCTGGGAGTCCACTGGGCAG